AGACCCGGGGCGCCTCTGGGGTCTCCTCTCCCCGTCGCCCCCTCCCCCGCTTTGGAAACGAGCGCCCCTGCCTCTGCCTGGAACTTTCTTGGGGGTCTCCCCCCTTCGGCAGCTCGTAGCCCCATTTGCGGCAGCCTTGAAATTAGCACATGCCATCAGTAAGGTCTAGATGCTGAACAGAAGCATGCCAGATGCAGAGGAACGTGGAGCTGACCTTGGGGGAAGCAGGAGTGACCCCTCAAAAAGGGGGGGGGCTCGGAGAAGAGATCGCCGGCCCCTGGACAAAAGGAAGCCCATCACTGCGCCTTGACTTGGTTTGGGGTGAGAGGGGCTTCCTTTCACCTACCCTGCAGCTGCTTTTATTTCTTGACCTGGCCTGCCTCGAAGGGCTGACATCAGTCTTGAAGCCTCTTTAGGCTCCTCCCCGTCCCATCTTAATTAAACCAACTCAGGTCTGAGTGACTTTTCAAGCTTTCCTCCTCCTTGACGGCGCTGTCATGCCTTCCCCAGGTGAGCTTTCCGGGTAGCAGAAGGGCACCTGTTTTGATTTCCCAAGGTTTCTGAATGTTCTTATGAGACACCCCCGCCCCCATTTCCTTTCATCGCATCCACATTTCCTGTACGGGAGGGGGGAAGGGGGCCACACACCTCTTCCAACCGCGGCTTCTCACAGTGCTACCCCTGCTGCTCTTCTCCCCCCGCCCCCCCCCAGTCCCTTCTGGAGCTGCACAAGCTTCGGAAAGCCCTGACCGAGCCAGAAGCCCGTTACTACCTGCGGCAGATCATCCTGGGCTGCCAGTACCTGCACAGCAACCGCGTCATTCATCGCGACCTGAAGCTGGGCAACTTGTTCCTGAACGACGACATGGAGGTGAAGATCGGTGAGTGGGCCTCATCCTCTGGACACGGTTGAGCTTGGACGAGGCCTCGTTGCTCTGTGGCCCAGGGGGGTCTTGGGCCAGGCTGAATGGGGGAGAACCCCGCTTTTCCAACCCAAAGACTGGCGGTCTGGCAGCTCTTCGGTTGCACCTTACCCAGAATGCTATTAATGGGTATGTGAAGGCTGTTGCCCAGTTTATCCCTTTACCCGGCTGCCCAACTCAAACGATGATTCTGGGCAGGGTGCAAAAAGTCACTCATTAAAGGTTACTAAAACAGGGAACAGAACTGCGAACCTTTACAACTCACCAACGGGGACTCTGCTCAACCTGACCCTAAAGCCTGGCGGAAGAGCCGGGTTTAGCCACCTTGCTAAGATCCAACTGTCTGTCCAGGGAAAGATTGTTCCAAAGGGCAGAGGCTGCCACAGAGAAGGCCCACCTCCTGGGTCCCCTAAGATGGCATGCCTCAGTGAAGGGACCTGGAGTGTGCCCTTCTGTCAGAACCGGTCGGAAGGGCAGATACCTCAGAGCAGGCAGTTCCATAGATAACCCAGTTCTATGCCATGAAGAGCTTTATAGGTGATAACAAACCCTTTGAATTGCACCTGGAAGCCTGCTGGGTGCCAGTGCAGCTTGTAGTGTTATATGAACAAAAGAAGAGACCCCCATAACTACCCACACCACCAGATTCTGGACTAATTGTAGCTTCTTCAAGTGCAACCCCACCCAGATTCAAAGCTGCAGCATCTTCACTTCCAGGACCTGTGGGGCCCCAAACCCATAGCCTCTAGAACCTTGGTAGCTTCACCAGGATGGCCTTGGGGCAGAGATGTACAATTGAGTAATCATATGTAGATATTAAATAGGATCAGGATTCCTCTTCCACCACCACCAACTGAAACCAGCCCTGGAAGAAGGAGGAGAGTCCCTGTAAAACAGGGCCATTCCCACCCAATTCCCTGAGCCGCTCCAGAAGGATTCTGTGGTCAATGGTATCAAAGGCTGCTGAGAGATCAAGGAGAACTAAGATGAGTGGACTCCCCCATCTTGAGCCCTCCAGAGGTCATCAACCAGTGCAACCAAGTCTCAGTACTTATCCTAGTCTGGAACCTGACTGGAAGGGGCCCAGATAATCTGCTTCTTCCAGGACCCTCTGGAGCTACAGGCCAACCACCTCAACAACCTTCGCCAAAAAGAGAAGGTTGGAGACTGGACAAAAATTGGCCAGATCTGAGGGATCCAGCTTCTTGGGGAGGGGGCAAATCACATTTCTTTCAGGGAGGGTGTAATCGCTGCCCCCCCAGGCAATTCACCACTTCATGGATCCACCCAGACACCCATCCCTGGAGGTAGAGCTCTAAGCCCCAGGTGCCTGTATCTGCAGAGCTGAGGACCCTTGCTACTTCCTCAGGACTGACAGGATCAAACTCTTCTCAGATAACGTCACAAGACCCCTCCCAAGGATCTGCCCAGCTGGAGTCCAACTCAGAGCGAATCTGAGCAATTTTGTCCACTGGGTGTTGAGAACAGTCCTTGCCGTGGCCCTGCAGATGCTTCCCCAGCCTCTCCTGAGCCAGGAGGCATTGGGAGGCTCTGAACCAATCCTCAGAAGAGACAAGGAGGGCAGAGAAATAAACACATTTCGCTGCTCTTATGGCTGCAAGGTCAGCTCTAACAAACGTTCTCACCTGCGCCCAGTCAGATTCGTTCCTAGTTTTCCTCCAGCGGCGTTCCAGGCATCTCTCCTGCGCTTCATCCTTTGAGGTCCTCTGTGAACGACGAGAGCGTGGGGTGATCTGGTTTAAAGCCACTGCCCCCAAAACCTCAATCGGAGTTAGCAAAACCCCCAAATCCCCCGAACCCCAGTCAGATCCATCAGGCTCCTGGGCAGGTGGATTGAGGAGCCCCTCCTCCCCGTGGGGGGGTGCGGTGGTGAGCTGCAGGGTCACCAGGGAGCAGTCTGCCCATGACAAGCGGAGGATGGTAATATCCCCCAACTCCAGGTCCCATTGCCACCACCCCAAAACAAAAAAACAGGTCTAGCGCGTGACGCGCATGCGCACACACCCTGTCCCATAGTGGCCATGAATTCCTGGGCTGCAGCTGAATCAGCCCAGGGGGACAGGTTGAAGTGTCTCACCACCATAAGCCTGGGGTGCTCCACCACCAACCCAGAGGTGGCATCAAGCAGCACGGGCAGGGAAGCTGCTATGTTGGTTCAGTAGCAGCAGTCCCAACTGATCTGAAGGCCCAGCCATCTGTGGGGTGCTACCCCGACAACCCTCTCCATCTCCCAGAAAATATTGGCGCACACAGACACCAGCCCTGGGGTCCTAGCTGCTGCCGAATTCGAGCACAGTTTGGAGAGGGGCAGCTCCCTCCACCAGCTGGGTCTCAGGAACACATGCCAGAGTTACGGTGTTCTGGACGATGTGATCTTTATTAAAGACAAACCTGGTCTGGAAACGCCACCCGGAGCCCAGAGCCACTCAGGGACCAGGAACCCGGAATGGAGACGGGGCTGAAATGCAGGTCTGATAAGAGATGTGGAGCTAAAGAACCCCCAAAGGGGCCAACGGGGTGTGACTGTTGGGGTCTTCAGCCAGGCCTCTGAGAAGCCCTAGCTTGCCCTCGGGTGTCAGATAGAGGCCTCCATGGGTGAAGCACAGTGAGGAGGCTGGGTGCCGTGATGAGCAAAGCAGGATTAAGAAACAGCAGTGGCTGATTTTCAGAACTTGTAGCTGGCTGGCCCCTGGGCGTTGTTCCTGGGACAGCTCATGCTTAAGCTTTATAGTTCCTAAAACCTGATGATGTCTAGAACACTAAGGCTGCTCTGAGTTTTATCCTTTTTCCAAAAGATAAAATGGATCTTAGGATTCAAGTGCTTTTCCAGACTTGGAGCTGCTTGCATCAAATGCCTGGGGGTCCAGGGAGACCGTTGGGCCCTGGGAAAAGGGGCTTCCCTGGAACTGAAAGGGCTGGGCCTGTCTGTGGCTCAGGGACTCTCTCCTGGTCTGCCCCCCCCCCCACCTGCAGCTCAGTCACTAGGCAGAGGCATTCGGGTGGCCCTTCCTGCTGCGTTGGGGTCCTAGCAGACCTGGACTCAGGAGCCTCTGCGTTGGGTCTACCCAGGTGACTTCGGCTTGGCCACACGAGTGGAGTACGACGGTGAGCGGAAGAAGACGCTGTGCGGGACGCCGAACTACATTGCCCCCGAGGTGCTGGGCAAGAAAGGACACAGCTTCGAGGTGGACATCTGGTCCATCGGCTGCATCATGTAAGTTCCGGGGCCCTTCTGCCATATTACACTTGAATGTTGGCCCCAAGATGAGTAGAGACCACAAGAGGAAAACTCCACTCCCCCAAACACAAACGCACATGCTGGAGCAGCAGCAGCCATGGGGGGGGAGTCTTACCCACATCTCCCAGTTCTACAGGTTGGGGATGGTCAAACGGACGTTCACCGTGATGTGTCCCAGCCTGCAGGACTTGCGTTTTCTGTAGGAAGGGTGGGCTCCTCAGATAGCTGGGCTTGTTTCAACTGGGCTCTGCTGAATAAGCTGTGGCTAGTTGAAGTCCCAGCCCACGATAGGCTATCGAACATGACTTGCCAGTGACAAAAGCCATGCTCACGTGTCACTGGCTCGAGAGCCCGTCGAGTTGGTGGCTCAACACATGAACCCGTCCCACGTAGTGCTTGGTGGGGTCATGTGTGGCTGCTGCAGCAGCGTGACCCCAGAAGTGTGCGGGGAGGGCAGAACCAGCCCTGCCACTCGCTCCGCCTTCGGAGAATCAGCCCGTCCTGCTCTGCGAGATTTGGTGTGGGCAAAGGGGCACTGGGAGGGGAGGGCAGCTGTATGGGGAGCTGTTCTGAAGTTTTCTGCATGCCTCCCCCCTCCCATATGCGATTTCTCCTCGCAGGTACACCCTCCTGGTTGGGAAGCCACCGTTTGAAACCTCCTGCTTGAAAGAAACTTACATTCGGATTAAGAACAACGCATACACTATTCCTACGGTGGGTCTTTTAGCAGCCGGGAGCCAGGCAAGCTGCAGGCGCCCCTGGGGGAGCTGCCCGTTAGGACTCCAAGCCGTTTCTAAGCTGCCTCCTCGTGTGGGGCGGATGCGGAACAAGAGCAGCCTTGTCTGCTCTTCCCTGTATCTTAGCCCGGGGTTGACTTATGGCTCCCACCCCCATTCCCCCTGTGGCCATGGGAGCTGGCTCTCCTGTAGATGGTCGTTTGGCAGTTGCCCTTTTTCAGTCGTTTTCAGTTAAAAGTAACAGTTGTCAGAATAATAGTTTATACTGCTCCTTCATCCGGCTGAATTAATGCTTGTTGAGCTTTCAGACATAGCTTAATTCTGGCCAAGAGGCTCTTCTGCAACTCGTTTTGCTTTGCTTAGTTTCATGTGTGAATCCAGCCCAGCCAGTCCACGGGTCAGAATGCTGAGCACTAGCTTTGTGGCCTTGTGAAGGGGACAGGGGCGTCGGTGACTGGTGAGGAGGCACACAGAGGAGTGGTTGAGGGGCTCCCGAGCATCTCCTGAGACTCGAGGGGCCGGCTTCTGCAGAAACGGCCGTGTCCTGGGTCTTCGGCTGCTAGACCTTCTGTTTGTCCCGTTTCCAGCACATCAACCCCGTGGCCGCTAGTCTCATCCAGAAGATGCTGCAGCACGACCCGGCTGCCCGCCCCACCATTGACGAGCTGCTGAGCGAGGAGTTCTTCACAGCAGGCTACATCCCTTCGCGGCTGCCTACCACGTGCCTCACGGTTCCTCCCCGGTTCTCTCTGGCCCCCAGCAGCTCCGACCCCAGCAGCAGGAGGCCTCTTGCAGTGGTGAACAAAGGTGAGTGAGCCTGGCAGCTCGGCTCATTGCCGGAGCCAGTCGGGGCCAAGCTTTCGGAGGACGTATGCCGTGGTCCTGGGCTGCGTCACCCACGAGGCCTTGCTGATTCTTCCCTGTCGCAGGACCAGAGAGCCCTGCCTTAGAGAAGGTGCCCACGAAGGAGGACGAGACCGCCCAGCCTGAGCCGGGACAGCCTCTGCCCTGCTACCTGGCTGACCTGCTGCAGCAGCTGACGCGAGTCAACTCTTGCCGGCCCTCAGAAAAAAACCCTGTCAGACAAGGTGAGGGGCGGCTGGCCGGAGGCTATGCTTTTGAGATGGCCAGCCCAGCTGCAGTTGTTCACTCCAGTGCTCTCTTTTTTCCCCAGAGGAGGCTGAAGACCCGGCCTGCATTCCCATCTTCTGGGTTAGCAAATGGGTGGACTACTCTGACAAATATGGCCTAGGTAGGTGGCATTAGGGCAGAGCTGGGTTAACCAGTGGCGGTTTGGTGGGAATGCTCTGGAAACAGCCACCATCGCCCCAGTTGCATTTTTCCTCGAATCACAGTGGACTTCTCTGTATTTTGCGTGAATGAAAGAAAAGTCTTAGGATGGAGCAGACCCTCTTGGTTGGAGGGCCAGTTTTCTCTGGACTTGCAGCTGAAGAGCCTAAAACCTACAAGGGACAGCGTGATACCACTCCAGAGCAGCTGTGAAATTGATACAGAAGCTGTTCTGGTCACTGGATGAACTAAAGTGGTTTGATTTGATCAGAAGGAATTTAGAGAGAATTCAACTAGAATTTCGCCTGACGATTTGTTAGTCTGTCAACACTTGAGGGTCTCAAACTGCCCCCCAACTCAGGAAAGGGCTTACTTTGCACTGATTAGGCTGATAAGTTTGTCAGAACTCTAGCAATCTTCACTCCATTTTGCTTCCCTCTTTCTGGATTGAGTTAAAGGAGATTTAATTGATTGCGTGCCATCAAGTCAGTGTTGACTCTTAGTGACCACATAGATAGATTTTCCCCATGACCCTAATCTGGTCCTTCAGGTCTTCCAACGGTGCACCCATTGCCATTGTAACTGAGTCCATCCACCTTGCTGCTGGTCATCCTCTTCTTCTCTTTTCCTTCCACTTCTTTCCTTCCACCATTAGAGCTTTCTCTAGAGAACTAAGTCTTTGCAAAATTGTCCTAATTAAGATAATTTCAACCTGGTCATTTGTGTCACGAGTGAGAACTCTGGATTGATTTGTTCAATCATCCACTTCTTGAGTTGTTTTCACTATCGATGACCTTCTCAGGAGTCTTCTCCAACAACAGAGTTCAAAGGCATCAATAATCTTCTTGTCCTGCTTCTAACTTTCACTTCCATAGGTGTCACAGGGACTACCATGGCTTGCACAATTCTGATCATTGTAGGTACAGACACATCCTGGCATCGGAATATGTTTTCCAAGGCCTTCATGGCTGCTCTACCAAGTGCTAATCTGCAGCGTATTTCTTGACTGCTGGTTCCTTTATGGTTGACAGTTGACCCTCAAAGGCAGAAGCCATCTACCATTTCAATATCTTATGAATTCTGGTTGTTGTACCAGTTGCTATTAGTTTGGTCTTCTTTATATTTAATCTTAGTCCCATTTTTTCACTGTGCTCCTTGACTTTTATTACTAAAGCTTGCAGATCCTTTGTATTTTCATCTATTAGAGTAGGGTCATCAGCACAGCGCAGGTTGTTGATGTGTCTTCCTCCAATTTTAGAACCATGCTCATCTCCTTCCAAACCAGGCTCTATCAATATAAGTTCAGCATGTAGGCTGAATAAATAGGGGGAGAGTAAACAGCCTTGTCACACTCCTTTGCCAACCTGGGGTCAGCCTGTTTTGCCACGTTCTGTCCATACTGTGGCTTCCTGACATAGATAAACTTCACATGAGGACAATGAGATGTTCTGGGATTCCCATTCCCATTCCTAAGCACATTTCATAGTCTGATGCGATCAACACAATCAAAGGCCTTTCTATAATCAATGAAGCATATATTGACTTATTTTTTGTAATCTTTGGCTTCCTCAATTGTCCATCGCACATCAGCAATAATGCCTCGTGTTCGTTGGCCTTTTCTAAAGCCATCTTGAACCTCTGGCATCTCTCTTTCCATGTAGGGCTCTAATCTGCGTTGGATGATCCTAAGCATTATTTTGCTACCATGTGAAATTAAGGATATTGTTTGATAGTTTGCACACCCTGTTTAGTCTCCTTTTTTTTATATTGGAATGTAGATTGACCTCTTCCAATCGGTTGGCCACTGTGGTGTTCTCCAGATTTGCTGGCATAGCTTGTTAGAACCTTGACTGATTCTTCTTCTGTTGCTTGCCATATTTCTGTGGGTATTCCATCGGCTTCTGTGGCCTTCCACTTTGGTAATGACTGGGGTGCTGATCTAACTTCATCTCCATCTAGTACTAGAGGTTCTTGTAAGTAGGGAATACCTTGGATGTTAACATCTCTACTGTACAGTGTTTCAATATACTCCTTCCATCTTCCTTTGGTCTTCTTTCAGTTAGTTTCTATGTGTCCATTGGCATCTTTTAGTATACAAATTTGAAGTTGGAACCTCCTGAGTTCAGAGATCTTTTGAAAGACTTTCCTTATTTTGCCATGTCTGTTTCCCTCTTTGATGTCTTTACAAATGTTGTAATACTGCTTCTTGTCTCTTCTAACTGCTCTCTGAAACTCTTTAAATTCCTTCCTGAGATCTTTGCCTTTCTTGGCTTTGGCATCTCTTCTCACCTTGGCAATTTCCATGGTTTGTTCTGACATCCAGTTTGCTTTCTTCTGTTTCTTCATCTTTGGCATTCATCTTTAATGACAACTTTAAGTTCATTCCACCCTTTCTTTGTTTCTTTATCAATGTGGTTCACAACTACAAAGCGATTTGTATTGTTCTTTAAAATGGTGGCTATATGCTTGAGATGATATTCTGGAAACTGGTCAGCTTTGGCTTCACTTGGAACTTCCACATGAGCAGTTCATGATCTCTTCCACAGTCAGCACCTGGCTGGTTCTTTGATGCTGTAATTGAGCCTCTCCATCTCCTTTTAGCAATAATATAGTCAGTTTGATTTCTATATACTCCATCAGGTGATGTCCATGTATAGAAGCGTCACTTTTGTTGTTTGAAGACAATGAAGAATTCATTGGAGTGGCAGAAACTGACAAGTCAGTCTCCTGCTCCATTTTGGTTCCTAGGCTATACAGTCCAACTACACTGTCCTCTTTAATGTCTCCACCTTTGGTATTCCAGTGTCCAATCACAAGCAACCTCATAAAACCTATCAGCCTCCTCTTCTTCTGTATTGGTGGTTGGAGCATAAACTTGGATGAGCATCGTATTAAAGGGCTGTCCACGAAGTCTAATGGATATTATTCAGTAATGGATTGCATTGTGGCCAAGGACTGTTCTTGCTATACTTTTCCTGACTATAAAAGCAATGCCGTTCCTTCTTTGTTTTTCATGCCCTGATAATAGTTTAATAAACTGATAATTTGATCATTTAATAAACGGTGTGATTAAAGGTTAAAAGGAGGCTTCAGTCACCCTTGCCAAAGGCCTGGGGGAAGAGCCAGCTCTTCAGGCCCCTTCGAAACACCTGCAGGGTGGGAGGTTTCTGGATCCCGGGGGAACCTCGTTCCAGAGGGCAGGTGCTGTGACAGGGAAGGTGCGCTTCCAGGGTCCCGATAGATGGCATTGTTTAACCAATGGAACCCGGAGCTGTGCCAACCCTGCCAGATTGAATCAGCCAGGCAGATGCTATATTGTTTGTTCCGTTGATTTAAAATTGAACTTGATCATAAAACTCATCAACCTCCTCCTCTTCTGCATCAGTGGTTGGAGCATAAACTTGAATGACTGTCATATTAAAGGGTTGCCCATGAAGTCTAATTGATGTAATTTGGTCACTGATTGCATTGTAGCCGAGCATCGTTCTTGCTATGTCCTTCCTAACTATAAAAGCCACGCCATTCCTTCTTTGCTTCTCAAGTCCTGAGTAATAAATGGTGTGATCTTCTGGCTGAAAGTGTCTGATCTCTCTCCATCTCAGTTCACTGATGCCTAAGAGGTCAATTGGCAGTTTCATTTCATCTTTCACTGTGTTCAGCTTCCTGTGTTCCTACTGTAATTCTGTCTTTGCAGCTCCAGATTTTCTTTTCTTGCATGGCAACCTCAGCAACGTTATATCCTGAAGGCTTTAATCTATCCTGTCATAAATACCATCGGTACCCCGAAAGATCCTCAGAAATTGCTCAGTGGCACGCTGAGTGCCACCTGACCTGAGGGGCCCATCATCCAGCACCCATCTTCATCATCATCAGTCATTTTATGTTTTCTATCCATGCAGCTTTCTTGATAATACAGGAGTGGTTTACCATTGTCTTCTCCAGCACAATGTGAATCGGGGCCTTGGCATTGTCACTAAGTGACCCTCTGCCTCCGGCGTCTTCCTATATCACTGCTGCCCATTGCAGGTGCCTGCTTGCTGGGCAGCTTGGCAGACAGTCCTGACATTCTTTGCTCATCCCTTCCAGGAACACCCCACCACTATGATGGAGCAGCACAGCAGGACTTGCGGTGGGGGGGGGGGATCAAAACTTTTTTTCCTAAAGAATTAGTATGTTTCTTTCAGAAGATTTGGGTTTTCTGAGGGAGTGAGAGGGGACTGTTTCCCAGCCCAGCTAAATGCCTTGTACCAGTGCCAAGCTTTCCCCACATTGTGAGGCGAAGGGAGGGTAGTCCAGCCGGGGTGCTTCACGGCTTGTGCCTGGTTCCCAAGTGCTCCCTACGTGCAGGTCGGGATGTGCTCGGCAGACGAAGTCACGTTCTCCTGCTGAGTGAGATGAGAAGAGGCTCCTGTGAGAGTCTGGCCTGGCCTGGCCTCGCCTGCAGCCGCTGAGAACACTCTCGCCTTCTCTCTCGCAGGCTACCAACTGTGTGATAATAGTGTTGGGGTTCTTTTCAACGATTCTACTCGTCTGATCATGTACAGTGATGGGGACAAACTGCAATACATTGAGCAGAACGGCTCTGAGCTATATTTTGATGTGCGCTCTTACCCAGATGCTTTCAGCAAGAAGGTCAGTGTGCGTGTCTGGAGATCCCCACCCACAAAGTTGGAGCCCTGCTCTTCCCTTGCCTCAGCTCCCATTGTACCTCTGATGGGCAGGAGGGATGAGGGTCCCCACTCTTGCAAACCCGAGCCTGTGCTTGAAGAGGGAATTCCCCTTTGGACTGGGGGAAAGGCCGAGATCCTGGTGGCGTGGCCCGGTGGGATTGGAAGGCTTGCTGGGCAGATGCTCCTGGATCGGCAAGGCTGGAGAGTTCTCCGGGGGCCAGTAATGCGGGCAGGGGGGCGGCAGGGTGTGTGTGCAGCGGGGAGGTTTCCAGCTTCTTCCTGGAAGTGGCATCTCAAGGCCTTTTGTGCTGTGGCTTACCCTGCCCTGCTAACGCACCCTGCTCCTGCCTTCTCAGATTAAGCTGCTGGAATATTTCCAGAACTACATGAGCGAGCACTTGCTGAAAGCCGGCGCCAACGTCACCCCCCGGGAAGGAGACGAGTTGGCGCGTCTCCCTTATCTCTTGAACTGGTTCCGCACCCGCAGTGCAATTGTCCTGCACCTGAGCAACGGCACCGTGCAGGTCAACTTCTTCCAGGTGAGGTGCGGGCCACAGAGCCCTCCGCGGCTTGGGGGGCAGGTGGAGGGGAGCCGGGAAACCCACCAGAGTGGGAGCAAGCTGTGGTCGTGCAGGGACTTTGCTCAGACTGGAGTCCCCACAGGGCGTCTGTGATGGAGCGAGGGGTCGATGCTCAGGGCCCTGCCCTTGCCCAGGTGCCCAGTACACGCTCTGGGAACAGAACCCCTGCCCACCCCCGGCTCCTCCACCCGCTTTCCTTGGGGGAAAGGAAGCAGCCGGAAGGGCCAGCTGGCTCTCTTTTCAGGCCAAAAGGAAGATCTGGACAGCATTTCTGAATTAGCCGGGAGCTTTTGCAGCCCCCGGCCTGTTGGCCTCCTAGCCTGAACCCCAAACCTCTTCTCGGAAGGGGGTTGTGCACTTGCTTTTCCAAGGGCAGCCCCGAGAGCTTTGCTACGAGGCGCTGCTAAGCCAGCCATTGGCGCCGTCTCCTCTCGGCCCACAGGACCACACCAAGGTCATCCTCTGCCCCTTGATGGCTGCCGTCACCTACATCAACGAGAGGCGGGAGTTCCGGACCTACAAGCTGACCCTGATCGAGGAGTTTGGCTGCTGCAAGGAGCTGGCCAGCCGCCTGCGTTATGCCCGTACCATGGTGGAGAAGCTGCTGATTTCTAAATCGGGAGCCGCCCCCATAAGACCACCGACCTAGAGCCTGGGGGGGTCTTTTGGCTCAAAACTGTCCAGCCCCCTTGGCGGGCCTTCCCTGGCTGGGGGCCAGAAGGCCCCCCGCTGCTTTAGGGGTCTGGGGGCCCCTCGGCTAGAGAAGGACTGTAACTTAACAGGAAGTATTTTCTCCGCATTCTGATAGAAAAGCCCCATCCCCTTTTCTGCCCTAATTCAGACTAAGCTGTTTTATACTCACTTTTGAATAAAGAGAAGCCCCTGGCTGTTGCCTTTTGACTTGGATTTCGAGCCAGCCAGACTCCTTCTAACATCTTTCTCTGGAGGTGGGTCCAGATCACGCCTTGCGGGGTGAACGTGCTCCTTTCAGTTCAGGGTGATATTCTGGACCAGTTGCTGCTTACTTGGTGTCACGTGTGAATCAGGCCTCGGCTTGCTTTTCCTTGAGCGGACGACTCCCCTCCAGCTGCGCTTTTCCTCTCTCGGCCCACCCTCGTGTTAGAGCCCTCTCCCCCAGCTGGCCCGCCCTCTTAAAAGCAGGGAGGCTGGCCAGGGACAGAGGTGACTTTGGCCAAAGCCACGGCCCGAGGGAGTCCTGGGCAGGAGAGCCAGCCCAGCCAGCCTCTCGCACCCCGAGCCGCCCTTTGGCGGAGCTGTGGGCTGAGGCTCCCCACCCACGCCGGCCTCCATCCCAGCCCACCTTGCCTGATGGGGGGGAGGTCAGTTCACAGTGAAGTGGCGTGGGTGGCATAAGTTGGGGCGGGCTGATGCCAGGAAGAAAGGAATGGTGGGAGAGACAGGTGGGAGCCCCATGGAAGAGCCCTCACTGCCCCCCAGTCCAGCTGGGCTTCCCAAGACCTGATCTTCCTCTGTCAGGCGGTTTGCCAGGGTTCTTCCATCGGCATCCCGGAGCTCCTGGGCAGGAGGTTTTCCATGATTACGCTGAAGCCACCCCAGCTGTCGCAGCAGCAAATGACGGCCTCCAACTGAAGCACCAGAGGGGGTCCTGGGCAGCTGGAGGCTCGGTGCACCAACAGGCGAGCGACACCCAGGTGCCGGAAGGGTAATGGGCTGGACAAGGCCCAGCAAACAAAGGGAAGCCCAGGATGGAGGCCCCGGGCGGTGGGGACTCATTGCAATGAGGATGCAGTTCCCCCACTGGCATCGAGCCTGTTCAGAGAGCAGCCCCGTTTGGACAGGAGCGCCTGGCCACGGCAGTCCCTGGATGGGTGACTGTGCTATGATCTGCCCCACTATAGTGCTGTCATCTGGCGTTCCCTGCTTCACCGAAGCTAAACAAGCCATTGTGTTTAAGGCCCTTAACCGTTTAGGTCCCTGACTGAGGAAGCCCCTCTCCCAGGACATTCTTGCCCGGAGTGGCCGGGAGAAGCACGTCCGTGCAGATGCCTTGCTCCAGAGACAGGATGAGCACCTGCCTTATCCCCTTTCAGGGTCAAGCGGAGACCTCAGGATTGGAACCCAGAGCCTGGCGGAGATTTTTGTTTCCAGAGTGCTGCTCTGCCTGCTGCTCGGTTACTGTGTGTTTTAAATTCTTTCTTGGTTTACTGCTTTATCTTAGGTTTTTTTATGGGATTGTGTCTTTCCACCAGACCCTCTGGCTAGGAGATGGCAATCCATCTTATAAACAAATGAAGCCAACTTGATCAACTGTGCCTAACTGGGAAAGGGGGTGACCCAAGGAGGCCCACATCTTGTGCAAGAACCGCCTTCTACCATCCATTCCAAATTTCCATAGTGTAGAAAGAGTCTGAAATACACAACCAAAACAGCCTAGTTGCAAGAGGACAAAATCTTGTAAATCTACTGTAATTGTAAATGATTCTGTAAATCCACAGGAATTATATTCTGCTGTCAAGTCTGAATTTACCAACGATACAGAGTCAGACATTATAGACCAATGTTGGTTTATATTATTTTCTGCATGGGCTAAAATGCTAAATAAAAACTCTTCCTAATGTCTTTTTTGCACCTCCCCAAATCACCCTTGCAAAGCTCCCAGGGAGAGGCGGGTTCTCTTGTTCTCCTAGCCTCAGCCCAATCACAGCCTGAATTTCACCACATCCTGACTTCTGAGTCAATCTAAGAAAATGTTCAAAGTCCCAGTTTTCTGGAGTTTTGTCTCACTCTAGGATTTTACATTCCCTGTTGAATGTGTTCTGTCAAAAGGAACAGTGGAAACTCAGAACAGACCTCGCTTCTTTCTCGTTTGTCCTACAGCCACGGCAGTCTACAGTGAGGAGTTTCTAGCAACCAATTTTCAGCAAAAGATTGGCATAATGTATGATTTTTAGCTAACTTTTAAACGTGGAAACAGACTGCCTACGCATTTAGGCATGCTTCTGTTGCTTCCGTGGTTTGCCACGGGAGATTTTTATAATTGTATGCCTAAATGTAATTTGCCTAATAGCCTTGTTGGGCTTCACACAACAGATTACACAATAAAGGGCTGGTTGTCTTGGGTCCAGCCTCGTGTGTGAACACAAGCACAGGTCAGTCATATGTTGATGCCCCGACAGGCAGAGGCTCCCCCTTGGGCCACCAGCAAGATGAGGAGCCCCGTCAGGAGCCACACCGGCTGCAAGGTCCTTTGCTCCCAGGTGGCCCCCCAGCAAGGAGCACGAGCATCGCGGGTTCCATCCACCCTCGGAGCCCGCCAGGGTGTTCCACGGCTGCTTCAGCCAGCTTGTGGGAACCCGTTTTGAATATTTTCTAGGACTGGGCCTTCAGCAGGCGTGGCAGGCAGCACACGTAGGGGAGCGAATCTTTCTTCTCTTCGGGAAGCCAGAGTTCGGTCATCTGCTCATCTCGTCCAACTCATTAATAATCAGAACAGAGTCAAGGATTTTGCTCTGTGTGGCCCCTGTGGCACCTTCCTTGAGGAGTACTCGTCCAATAAGACCATCAAGCCTGCTGTGGATCCACCCAATATTTGACTGTTGTGAGAAATTTTGCCAAATGTTTTCCTGAAATCAAGCTATAGTTTGACTGCAGCATTCCCACAATCCATTAAAATTACCTGATCAAAAAATAACAGTCTGACAATACTATTCTTATGTAAACTTGATCTCATTCTGTCTATTTCATCAAATTATGGCTAAACCAAATCCTGTTTTAGACTTCTGCGTAAGTGCAAATGATTGTAAGGCAGCCGTGATGTTTCACGCTCACAAGTCCGATCCCCAAACCGCCTTCTCAGCTCAACCTTGGTTCAGGTGGCGCTCCTGCTCCGCCATTCCTCCTGCTGCTGAGCAGCCAGGACCCTTTCTGGCTGAAAGAAGATGCTGTGAAAAATGGTCCTTCCTGATGGTTGGGGAGATGCAAAGCACAAGCACCCTGCCTACTGCCTTTCTGTGGCCTTTCTCTATGCTCGTTTATGTGTAAGGGTTTTTTTAACCAATTTACAGCTTTCTGCCACTAACCCCCCACTCCAGAAGGCTGATGAGCCGGGGGGATTTGCTCCTGCTTCCATATTCATTACACGTCTTGTCTTTGGCCGAGAATAAAGTGCCGCGGGGCAGTTGTGGCGCAGAACTAAGGGGGAGAAGGTGATGGCAGAGCGCAGCCTGAGCACCTCTGGCTGCCTTTAGAAATCCGATGCTCTGAAATGTCCACAGGAGGACCAGGGCCTGCTCGCCAAAATGCAGCAAGTTACTCGCTGTACAATGCAAACTGCCTGCGTGAGAGCAACTGAGCCCACGGTGACGTCTGATGCTCGTTATTCTTTTCGGGTGGGAATTCAAGGGAAGGCAACAGCGTCTTCTTGGGAAGGGCGGCCCTCCCACTCTTCCTCTGGTCCCCTTCTCTGAGGCCTCCTGGAAGCCCCCAGGAACTATTTTCTGGCTCCCACACGAACACCCCTGCCCAGGAAGCAGCTGGGGCTGGAACACCGGTGTGCTCATGTTGACTTCGGTCCCTCCAGAGCAGGGACAGGCTGTCGTGTACCAAAGACACTGAGGAGCAAGAAGGCAGGGGGCCGGCGAGCACCCTGTCCCCACTGGAAGGCGCATCACTCCCCCTGGCAGTAGTATCTCTGAAAGAGCCTCTCGCCAGCGCATAAACGCATGGCCTGGTGAGTGTGCAGCAGCAGGCGGGGAAAGCGGTCCACGAAGTACTGGACAAATCCATGGGGGAGGGTGCCAAGGGCCTCCCGGACGCTGCCGGGCAGTTCATGGTAATGATGCTTCTGAAGGAGAAAGAGTCCAGATGCCAGGGCCCCCGAGGAACAGTGCCAGGCTCAACATGGCTGTGATGGTGGGCCAGAAGAGGGACAGGAGGTGCTCAAGGGAATGAGGGGGGCAGCCCGACCACCCACTTGCCACTCAGCCACACAGGGCCGCGTACTCCCCAAAGAGCCCAGCACCAGGGTTGGCAGAGTACCTTATTCCTCAGGGCTCGCAGCAGGTCACGCACCGAGCTGCCATGATATCTCCGGAACTTCCTGAGATCTGGGGGGGCAGAGGGGGCCGAGTGGGTCAGCAAAGCTCCTGCACTTCTCACCCTAGGGCACGTGGTGGGTCCGGAGAGGGCAAGCTCCCACCTGTCTGTAATGGGGCAGAAAGATGCCCCTGCCAGTTCCCTCGCACCACGGCCAGGCTCCCGGCCTCTAGCGTGCTGACCAAGGGCCCGTCCGCCGGCTCCCTTTCAAGGCGGTCACTGACGTCCTGCGGATGGGAGAGAATGGGCAGCAGGGGCAGACCGAGACCCAGAGCGATGGCCGGGGAAGCTGCGCCTGGCACCCGGGACTCACCTGGAAGAACTGCAGCTGCCTCTCAGGGCTCCAGAAGAAGGGGTGCTGGAGGACCTGTGCGGCCGAGGGGCGCAGGCGGGGGTCACTGCTGATCATGGCTTCTATCAAGTCCCGCCCAACCACGTTGCCTGGGGGAGGCAGGCAGGCAGGGAGGCCAGGTTACCTTGGTTGGTCGCCCAAGGATTCACCTCCAGTTCGTCACCTTCTTTACCACACCCCTGCAAGGTAGGCTAGCATAGCAGACAGCAGGGCAAAGTGGAGGGAAAGCGGCTTGGCTATGGCTGAGTAACAGACTGGAGGTGAGCCAGGGCCTCTGGGGAGGCACGACATTGCTCCAGTTCCAACTAGCCTCGCGTGGACAGGATGGCAGCGATGGGGTTCCCCTCCCCACCCCTCCCGCAGGGCCAAAGCACCCCACGGCACCCTCCTTACTGTGAGTCTCCTGCTGGAACCACGACAGCTGGTAGGTGCCTGCCAGAATATTGGCCTGGCGGTGGAAGCCGTGCCCAAAAGGATGCTGCCCGTGGGACAGGACGTAGTAGAAGATGCAGCCAGCGGAGAAGATGTCCACCCCACAGGTCTGCAAGAGAGGGGGAGCAGCAGGGAAGCCATTGTGAGACGCAGCAAGTTCCATGTTTATTCCATGTCTCGGGGTTAGATTTCCATCCTGTCTTTCCTCTGGGACCCCATTTCCCTTAGAAAAACCACCCTGAGAAGTGGGCTGGGCTGGGCTGGGCTGGGCTGGGCTGGGCTGGGCTGGGCTGGGCTGGGCTGGGCTGGGCTGGGCAGGATGTCTCCGAGGAGACTGGGACCCTCCACTCCTTGAACTCCCCCCAACCCCAACCCCAAGACCAGGCCAGCTGGGCTCACGGGGCTCTCCTTCGCATCCTCCCTGAGCATCTCGGGTGCGATCCACCCCTCAGTGCCGGGAACGCCCGAGCTGAGACTGAAGCTTTGATGCCCTCCCTGGAGCTTCTTGCACAGGCCGAAGTCAGAGATGACAGCTCGGAGCCGCCCTTGCCCGTCGGGGAGCGAGATCAGGATGTTGCTGGGCTTCAGGTCACGATGAGCTGGAAAAAAAAATGTGGACCCTCGCCACATGCCCGGATCACACCTGGCCTTTGTTTAAGGGGAGGGGGAGGCAGCCAGCCCTTGCTGCCGGGGGGCTCACCTATGCTGAGGGAGTGCAGATGCGCCAATCCGGACATGGTCTGGGACAGCAGGGAGAGCGGATCCGGCCCCTCGCCAGGGAAGGCACAGCTCTCCATGTACTGAAGGGGGCAGAAGGGAAGAGAGCAGAGCAAGTCCTTGCTGGGAGCCACAGCACCAAGCCTGTCCCCCCGCCCCCCCGCCATCTATGCGGGAACAACTATCAGTCCTGATGGTCTTAAAGATCCTGTTACGTAGATGGGCTCTTTAAAGATAAAACTGTTCAAGAGCATCTTGGAGGGGATCCTTCCAAACCACACTTGAATTACCTAACCAAACGTTACTTCTAGTCCTCTCATACAGATACGGTTTGATTTCCAATCATTTCCGAACATTTGAATGGGTGGAAATGTCAGTCAAGACCTTCGTGTTGAAAACAGGCAGCTCCCTGCTCAGGACGGCTGCACAAGGACCCGAAAACAAAGCATCCTGAACGGGATGTAATTGGTGCTATTTTACATGATATGTTTCTGCAACGCAACATATCGGCGTGATCATTTTACAAGCCAAGTTAGCATTTTCTGATTTGGAATAAAATCACCACCCGGATGCAAGCGGCACCAGCAATGGGGCCCCGCCAGGCACGCCTCACCTCCTGCAGGGTGGCCGAGCACAGCTCGAGGGCGATGTAGTGGAACTGCCGGTCTGCCTCGGTGCAGAAGTAGCGCACCACGTTGGGGTGCTCGTCCGACTCTCGCAGCAGCCGCACCTCACGATCCACCAAGCGGACGCTTTCCGGCAGCAAGCGTTTCACCGCCACGTCGCGCCCATCGAAGTGGCCTCTGGTGGGAGGAAGGTGAGGCTGGTCCTCTGTGCCAGGGCCCAGAGTGCCTGCCTTCCCTCCTCCCAGCATTGGGTGTAAGGTGAGAAGGGTGGGACGTAAGCACGTGTTTATATTATGGTTAGGAAATATACCCTTCTAGCATGTATAAAGATATAAGCAGGGTATATAAGATTTAAATGGGGTATGTAGCATATAATAATATACCCCATTTTAAATGGCTACCCATTAAATCCAAGTATTATAAATATAACAAAATTCCCCAAGGAAAGCAAAGTGCAATATTATAAAAGCAGAGGCCCTAAATAAAACGCTAGCAAGTGGAGAATGTGCTGCCTAAGGTGGTTTGGTTCTTACGAAACAGGCGAAGGAAAGGAATGGAGGCAGGTGGCTGGAAGAGCCTCAAGCTCACCATTTAGGAGGGGGAAGGCCCAGTCCCAAGGTGGCCTTTACTGGGCACTTTAACCCTCCCTGGGGTTGTTGTTGTTGTTGTTTAGTCGTTAAGTCGTGTCCGACTCTTCGTGACCCCATGAACCATATTGCGCCAGGCCTTCCTGTCCTTCACTGCCTCCCTGAGTTTGGTCAGTTTCATGCTCATTGCTTCAGTGATGCTATCTAACCATCTCATCCTCTGCCGTCCTCTTCTCCTTTTGCCTTCAATCTTTCCCAGCATCAGGGTCTTCTCCAAAGAGATCTCTCTTCGCATTAGGTGGCCAAAATATCTGAGCTTGAGCTTCATTATCGATCCTTCCAATGAGCAATCAGGGTTGATTTCCTTTAAGATTGACTGGTTTGACCTCCTAGCAGTCCAGGGAACTCTTAAGAGTCTTCTCCAGCACCACAGTTCAAAGGCATCAATTCTTCGGCGCTCGGCCTTTTTTATGGTCCAGCTCTCACAGCCATACATTACTACTGGAAAAACCATAGCTTTGACTATGCGGATCTTTGTCGGCAAGGTGACGTCTCTGCTTTTTAATATGCTATCTAGGCTTGCGAATGTTGGCAATTTGATCTCTAGTTCCTCTGCCTCTTCGAAACCCAGCTTCGAATGTTGGCAATTTGATCTCTAGTTCCTCTGCCTCTTCGAAACCCAGCTTCGAATGTTGGCAATTTGATCTCTAGTTCCTCTGCCTCTTCGAAACCCAGCTTCGAATGTTGGCAATTTGATCTCTAGTTCCTCTGCCTCTTCGAAACCCAGCTTCGAATGTTGGCAATTTGATCTCTAGTTCCTCTGCCTCTTCGAAACCCAGCTTCGAATGTTGGCAATTTGATCTCTAGTTCCTCTGCCTCTTCGAAACCCAGCTTCGAATGTTGGCAATTTGATCTCTAGTTCCTCTGCCTCTTCGAAACCCAGCTTCGAATGTTGGCAATTTGATCTCTAGTTCCTCTGCCTCTTCGAAACCCAGCTTCGAATGTTGGCAATTTGATCTCTAGTTCCTCTGCCTCTTCGAAACCCAGCTTCGAATGTTGGCAATTTGATCTCTAGTTCCTCTGCCTCTTCGAAACCCAGCTTGGCATTGCCCTTCTTTGGAATTGGAACGTAAACTGACCTTTTCCAATCCCGTGGCCACTGTTGCGTTTTCCAAACTTGCTGGCACAAATGCTATCATGTCCTTCTGGAGTGCAGCATCGGGAATCCTTTCTGCCTCTACGGATCCTCCTTTTCACGTAAGGCTGATCTAGAACATCCTGCCCTCACAACGTTGGGGGGGGGGAGGCATGGCCTGCTAGCTGCCTTATTCAGCCTCTTCTAAGGATTTCCAAGCTTCTCAAAACACAGCCAGGAGAGTTTTGCTGCTGGAAAACCAAATTGCTCCAGGTTGGGAGATCAGTTTCCTAAATCTGCAGATGTTAGAAACCACTCGCCTGTTATACCTGCATTGCTTGAGTGAACATCTCAAAGGCAGCGTGATACGTGAGTTCGTCCCATGAATTGTTCTTGAATTTCTCCTTCTCTGGATTCAGATTAATATGTCCTGCTTTAGACGACGCAACTGCATCGTAATGGGTGATTAATGGCTGCTGGATCTTAGCATCCAAACATCGTCCGCTGCTTCATCTGTGGTCATTGACCGGCACAAAGTGTTGTCACCGTGCCTCTGGCTGACTTACATTTCGAGCATGCTTGAGCTGGGCCAGGCTCTATCCCTTCTGGGACAAGGCAGTGAAATGCTATCCCTAAACAAAACAACCTACAGATGGCCAGAACGCATAGAAGATACGTGATCTGCCCAGTTCAAGAGGGACGGATCACAACACCGAGATTCCTGTAGGGCATGACAAAAGCCCTCTGCCAAGGGCCCAGGAAGGCTCTTGTTCTGCCTCTGCCCTCAGAAAATGCCAAAAGCCGGCTGAGCACCATGGGAGGACGCCACACCACTTCTACAACCTGGACACCGAGAGGGAGACCCCATCCTGCCCTCCCTCAAAGTGCCAAGGTTGGTTCTGAGCAGCGCAGGACTCTCTGCCCACAGGGACCCCCCTTGGCTGGATTTGCAGGGCTGGGAACTTGCTTCAGAGACCCGGCCCCAACTCACTCGGGCGCAGGAGCAGCCCCCAACTCACCGGAACACAAAGGTGCCCCCTGCCCCACGGCCCAGCACGTCCTGGGGCCTGAAGGAGAGCTTCCCCACAGCAACAATTTCTGGGGCAACACCTGCTGAGAGGAGAGGAGAGGAGAGCGTGTACCCCCAGAGGAAGGCACCCCAGTTGCCTCCTTCCCAGCCCCAACCCCTCCCCAGCATACCCACCTTGCCCAGGGCTTCCCATCTGGGGGCTTTGGAGGGACACTCCATCCGTCAAGGCTGAGGAGGGGGGGAGGCCTGCCCCCCGGTCCTGCTCCAGGGAACCTTCAGGAGTCAGTCTTGGAAAATGGCTGAAGGTCGCAGGAGGCCGCTGGCCAGAGCTGCGCCCAGGCGGGGTCCTTTCCCTCTGTGACAGCAGCAGGAGGAACAGAGGGGAAGAAACCACCGGCCTTTACCATGAGGAGGCCCCACCACTGGGCTGGGGGCGAGGCTGGCTCCATCCTGGCAGAGACCTTCCCCCAGCCTGGCATTTGGCCGACAGGCAGCATTTTGAAAAGGGACCCAAAAGGCGGGCGGGGGGGAGCGAGAGTCTCCCAACCGAGAGGAGGGACTTAAAGGTGCCTCCTCTAGCAGCTGGCAGGGCCTGATGGGAGCCTCTCCTGGCCTTGGCCCCAGGGCCCCCTGCAACCACCCCAAAGCCCCAAAAGCCAGAGGAGAGTCTGATCCAAACCCACTCACCCAGAGCAGAAGGCAGAGGAGCCCCCCGCCCCAACAAACAGAGGCCACGCCAACCACAACCAGCTCCCAGCCGCCAAACTCGGGATCCATTTCTATCAGAGCCTCCTTCCCGGGGGGATCCGCCCAGGGCCGACCAGCACCCAGATGCTCCTGCAGGCCGCGAGGGGCCAGGAACTGCAACAGACCAGGAGGGCTTCTTGACACGGATGGAGTGGGACACCTGGCCAGTGCCTGGCCCCACACCACGGAGCCTTTCCTGGAAGTGGGGCTGGGCTGGG